ATCAACTTGGAAGAATAATAAAAGGATAAAAAATGCATCTCATATGTATAACAATGCTAACACCTATTATAAATACCTTCGATAACTAATTGTCTTTTAAACGAATTTTTTTTCCCGACACAAGAACCGGTTCTTAATCTTATAGAGGGAAATAAATATAGAAATATTTACGACAGGATAAATATGAGAGAGAGAGAGAGAAAAAAAAGAGAGTTTAGTATTGTTGCCTGAACACTATGTTGATGTGTCCATGAAACTAGTTTTAGGGGTGAAAAGATCTGCAGTAGCCATGCTGGATTCCAAAGAAATCCCTTTAAGAATAATGTGGAAAGAAATGCAGGATTTTTGGCCTGTCGAGTTTAGACTGATGGCAATGTATACATATATATACACCTATATCCAATTCAGGGACGCTGGGACCTTTTAAAAGAAAAAAAAAGAGAAGAAATAAAAGAATTCTTTCAAGAATCCATGAAAGTTTGTTGTGCCTTCTTTCAAACCACAATTTACAACTTTTATTTTCCGAACCCTATACATCCTATTTTCTATTTTTGAAACGAAAGGCAAAAAAGTTATAATTGTGTGGTCACGCAGTAAATTGTATTTGAACTAATGTTAAAATATTATTAAATTAATATTACACTAAAAAAAAAATTTATTTGACTCAAAAAAAAAATTAAAATTAAAAAAATTTTTAAAAATTAAATATTTACTTGAATCAAATAATTTTCACTTGAGTCAATTAAACAGTTCATTTCACGTCCAGATTCATATTTGCTTCAAAATCCTACTAAAATTATTGGTACAAATAAAATTTATTTGACTTAATTAAAAATTATTTGATTCAAGTAAACATTTAGTTGACAATAATCAAAAAATTATTTGAATCCAATAATTTTTAAAATAAAAATAATAATACTACAATATTTAAAAAAGAAAATCTTTTTAAAAAAAAAAGAAAATCTTTTTTAAAAAAATATTTTATAAACAAATCTTTTTTTATAAAAGAAATGAAAACAATTGCCCAACATTTTATTACCCGACAAAAGAATTATTATAAATATAATGATCACTTTGTGTCTCAATTACTACGTTGCTCAATAATTTCGGTCTCAATATATATATATGTAGAACATAAATAAAACGTTTCATGAAACAAATTGGATTTGTTGGAAAATTGATTTTGAAACATGTGTGTTAAAAAGTGGGACAAATTTTATTAATTATTTTTCACTATATAGGTATATATGAAAGGAGACATTGAGGAAAAAAAATAATCATGAGACTATTAAATTATACCAATAAAAATACAATAAATAATCGAGAGTATAATATTCGAACAAAAAATATTTCTTAATATCATTTTGATTTTTGCAGTTTTTTTTTTTATAAAATGAATATTTAAAAAAGAAAAATCAAGGTCTGTCGCTTTATTTGCGTGTTGAAATTAACGACATATTTTTGCTTATCTTCGAGTTGTTTTGAAATATTTTTCCAGCTATAAATAAAAAAAGCAACTTTACAAGCTTTTACGTCACTTAATTACGTTCTTTGTAATTAAAAACAATAAAGAATCGAATAGAATAAACAATGTAACCCTTTTTCTTTCTCTCTCGATTCTTTAAATTTTCCGCGATAATTTTTTTTTTTCATTTCCACACGTGTTCTTTCTTTTTCCTCTTTTCATTTTGTTAAGAAAATATAGACTTTAGCAGAAACTAATTTTGTTTAAAAATTTTTTTACAAAACGAATTTGTTTTTAGTATGAATATTTCGTTGGAAAATTTTAAAAGAAAATTTCTTTTCGGTCCTAATATTGTGGCATTACTATATCTGCTTTTTTCTATTTAGAGTCTGTTAGAGAATTGTTTCTAATACTAATTAGCAGAGAATTAATAAAAAAATTATTTTGAAAAGAAATTTGCAGAAAAATTTTGCAAAAAGATTTGCGAAATAATTTTTTTGAACCAAAATTTTTAGGAATTGGAGAAAAATTCTTCTCTGAAATTCTTCCAATTGGAAATTGTGCGTTCTTATGACCTTTCGAAAATTCAAGGAGTTCATGATTTAATAAAGAAATTAAAATTCATGCATTGGAATGTTGGTAGCATTAAAATCAAGGTTTTGCGCTCTAGAGATACAGAATAAAAAAAGGAAAGAAGCAAAATTCACTATAATTTATCCGATTTTTCAAGTTTCGAAATTATTTTGTCTTTTTCAATTCTAATTCTTATTCAATTTCAAATTAATTTCGATTAAATTGAATTGAATCCATTTTTTCAAGCGAATTAGATTTCAATTCAATGTATTCCATTTTTTATTTAAATGAATACAATTTTAATTAAATTCAATTAAATTCGCCTTCTTTTCAACTAAATTGAATTGAATTTGAATCCAAACCTTCAAAATCAAATTTAATTTCAAATCAAATGACTCTATAAATGAACTTTTGTGCTTCGAAATTTCTTTTTTTCTTATTTAATTTCAATTCAATTCGGTTAAACTCAATTCAAATGGAATTCAATAGAATTAAATTTAATTTAAATCAAAACTTTCAAAATCATGTTAAACTTCAAAAATCAAATGATTTTAAATGAATTTTTAAACTTTGACATATTTTTCTTCTCTTCAATTTTAGTTTAATTCAAAGGAATTGAACTGAAATTTAATTCAAAGGAATTTAATTCAAATTCAATCCAATAGAATTGAATTTAATACCCTTTCAATTCACTTGAATCGAATTCAATTTCTATTCACTCGAATTGAATTTAGTTTCAATTCAATCGAATTGAATACAATTTATATTGGATTAAATTGAATTAAATTTCAATTCAATCCAATTGCATTGAATGTCATTTCCATTGAATTGAAATAAATTAAATTTCAATACAATCCAATTGAATTGAATGTAATTTCTATTGAATTGAATTGAATTGAATTAAATTTCAATCCAATTGAATTGAATGCGATTTCAATTGATCAAAATTTAATTTAATTTGAAACCAAACGAATTGAATACAATTTTTATTGCATTGAATTAAATTCAGTTTCAATCCAATTGAATTGAATTGAACTAAATTTCAATCGAATTGAATGCAATTTTAATTGAAATGAATTAAACTTTAATCGAATTGAATGCAATTTTAATTGAATTGAATTAAATTTCAATTCAATTGATTTGAATGCGATTTTAATTGAATTAAATTTTAATCCAATCGAATTGAATGCAATTTCTATTGGATTGAATTAAATTCAGATTCAATCCAATCGAATAGAATGCAATTTCTATTGAAATTACTTTAATATGGTTTAAAACTAAACGAATTGAATGTGATTTTTATTGAATTAAATTAAATTTCAATCCAATCGAATTGAATTGAATTGAATTAAATAAAATTTCAATCCAATAGAATTGAATCGAATTAAATTTCAATCCAATTGAATTAAATGCAATTTCTATTGAATTAATTTGAATTAAATTTCAATCCAATCGAATTAAATGCAATTTCTATTGAATTGATTTTAATTCAATTCAAATGAAAACTTTCAAAATCAAAAGCATTTTAAATCAAATCATTAAAAACTTTTAACAAATATTACGAAAACAATCTTCTCAACTATATAGTCAAAACTTCTGACACATTATCTCAAGACTATCATCAATTTAACATTATTTTCGACATTATATTTCAAGCACACACACATTTACCTAAATTGAATTTTTCAAATTTTAATTTTCCATTATTATTTTCAATTTCTAATTTCTATTTCCAGTTTTATCTTGATTTTCATAATCACGACATTAATTACTATAATATCTTATCAACGAGAAATTTATAAAATTTGAATAATTTCTAAAAAAAATTCCCATTTTCATTTTGTCACAATCAATTTTCAATATGGCCTTAATTCTCCTTTAGAAAGAGAAAGAGAAAAGAAAAATATTATTTCCCTACGCAAATGATAATTTTCTGTTTCGAATTGTAATAATAGAAAGTGAACAAATTCTCAAATGAATAAACTAAAAGCCGACCTGAAACTCAATTCCTACTTTACGATAAAACTACATACATATAGTTTATATATATGCTCATATCTGATGGTTTTACACTTTAGTCAGCTTATTAGTCAGAATTGTGCTACTTTTGTGCAATGAAGAAAACGAGGGAAATCGAGCAGCTTTCGAAGGAATTTAAAACCGTCGGCGATGTAAATCATTCAAGGTATGTCAGGTTAAAATCTGTTAACTGCTTCTTCATCATCATCATCATCATCATCATCTTCTTCATCTTTCTTTGTGAATTATTTTGTTCCAGAATTTATTCATCACAGTCAAATCTTTTCTTTCTATTTCAAAAGTGATTCAATTTTTGAAAATTGAGACAAAACAAGAATCAAAAGTGTTGCAAGGCAACACTTTTGATTCTTGTTTTGTCTCAATTTGATATCCTTAGGTTCTCCCCCTAGGTTCTTTCCCCCTTTTTCAAAACACTTCTGTGTTTTGAAAAAGGGGGAAAGAAGCATAAGGAAGAAAGAAGCAAAGGAAGAAGGAAGGAAAGAGAAAAGGAAAAAGGAAACAAAAAAAGAAAGGAAGAAGGAAAGGAATAAGAAAAGAAAAAAGGTACAGCATTAACGAAATATCAAACGAGGAAAAATAGGATCAAGTTATTGGTTCATAAGAGAGAGAGACATGATCTCTCGGTTTCCTTTCAAGTGTTGCTCTAAAAAGGATGAAATCTAGGGAATAGAAAACTAATCCGGATTTAAGGATCAAAGAGGTTTTGAAAAAGAGGAAGATCGCGCAGTCGCGATAACCCACATTTTCATCAAGGATCGAAGAAAGAAATTTTCAAACTTATTTCTTCTCCCTTTGCCCCCGAATCGAATTTCCTAATAAAACCTAATTGATTCATTAAAATTCAAAGGCAACAACAAATATTTTCACAAAATAGAGCTCTGATTTGCGGGGGTTTTTTTTTCATGTCCGCCTCTGTACTCACCGCGCCAGCGCCATCCTGTCATGAGACAATCCGATAGAAGGCGTCGACAGAGTATCCAGATCTGAGTGTTGAGATTTATTACTGGTATATCCCACTGGACACATGCGCACAGATTTTTTCACGGATTTCTTTAGCTCATGACTCAACGAGCCTGTCATATAGTCACTTCACACATGACGTTTGAACTGTTTAGTCGTTACAAACAAACAATAATCACTTATGCTCCGAAATGTCAAATGATTGGGACAAAGATTGGGAGGGAGCACTTTTGGGAAAGAGAGAAAAAAGTATTGTGATCGATATTAAAAGAAAAAAGGGAAAATGGGATGTTGACAGAAAGAAAGAGAGAGATAGAGAGAGAGAGAGAGAGTCTAGCAGACGAAACGGAGAGCAGATGACGAAAGGCGCGACGAAGCACTTCGATGTGACACTGGCAGCTGGTCAAAAAATAATCTTTTTTTATTTCCTTCTTGAAAAAAAATGTTGATTTCTTGACTCGTGGTATACGGACGAAAGGTACACACCTCCGACTTGACCTGACCTGACCCGACGACTACAACGAACAGCGCCAACCTCAACTCCGAATTCGACTCCAATCTCCGGTGTTGGCCAGACTGAACTGATGTCCAACAACTGAAAGCGGAGGTCTCCCCCACTGCTTTAGTCAGCCATCCCCGTGGCCTCGTGTCTTTACGGCTAGGTTCGAGTTATTCCGTCCACCTTCGGAACTTGAGATCCCACCTCCAAAGCTGTTGTTGATAGTGCTGGTGGAGGTGGTTCAGCGGCGGCTCCGACCTCGTGTCTCGGCATCGGCACCAGGGCCGCGATTACATGCCTTTGCCAACACGAGACAGAGAAAAGGCCAGGGGGCCTTCGCTTCTCCTTTCTTTTTCCAAACCAATGCTACACTATCATCATCGTCGTCGTCGTCGTCGTCGTCGTCGTAGTTGTGGTGGTTGTTGTAGTAGTAGTCGTCATTCCCCTTGCTATGTAGTTTGCTTTTAAAAAAAACCGTGAAAAAGAGATTCTCTTTCTCTCTTATTCTCAGTATAATGTTTGCTGCACGCAATCGCACAAAAATCCCCGGACGAGAAACCGAAAAAATCCTTGGCTTTATTGAAGCACACGATCGGAGAATGGGAAACCTGCAAATGTGAAGGGGGACTCTTTGGATCATGGCCAGAAAATCGAGAGACAAAAAGCCTTTTTTTCTAAGGGGACAAAATTCAGGATTTAAACAACAAGTTCGAGATTTAAAATGCAAAAATCTGAATTTAATTCATGATTACAGTAGACAATTGTATGTGAGTTCAGAATTAGGAGCACAACGTTATCCATACTGTTTCTATTAGAATATCGATGCTAGAATATCTATCTACAAAAGGCAAATTCAACTAGTTTTCAAATCTATTGCTATTGGAAATATTGGAGACACTTTATGCTGTAGTGAAATTATTGGCCCCAATACGAAACGGATTGTACAATACAATGGATTTTGGATTACTGATCCAAAACAATTACTATTTCCAAAAGTAATTTGTACTATAAACAATTAACTGTTACATGTAATATAAACAATACCATATGATGCAAATTGCTTTTTTTGCAACTAAGATTGAATATAATAATCTCAATGGGTAATTGATACTAATATTCCACTTCATCTCGCTTTCGAGAGAGATTTCTCGCCATCTGGACAACAACTTTCAGAGTTATTTATATAGGCGCGAAATTCTAATTTAACAATCACTATTAACTTCAAAGTATCAAATTGCAACAAATTGATACCAAAAAAGTGGATAAAATCATAATTTGATCCAAATTTTTGGTGTCATTTTGATACAATTGGGTATCAATTTGATACTTTCTCTGATTACCAGACAAAATTTTGACTTTTTCCCTAACCTGGAAGAATATTCTGATTCACTCCAAAAATTATTTAGATCCTCAAAAAAATGTTCTATTACATTTATTTACGAATTTCTTTAATTGTAAAATTATTCGATTTCATCCAATAACTTCTTTTTTAAATAAATATTTAATCATTAAAATTTTTCTATAGCCATTAAGATTTTCAAATTCAAACCTTTTGAAATTCAATAACATATGAAAATATTATTATAGAAAACATGAAGAAATCGATTACTCCGAGTCTTCGACTCGGTGTAATCGATAATAATTTTTACAATACATTTAAGATGTCAGAGTGATAAAATAATTATTTTATATCATAATAATTTGAACCCTTTTCAAAATTCAATTATTTCTAAAAAAATTCACGCTATAATGCTTTTAATATTAAAATATAATTTAAAATTTTAAGAGAAATTCATTTTTTAAGTCAATTTTTATTAGAAAATTTTTCGAGAATTCAATTATTTAAATAGAAAAATAAATAATTGAATATTTCTTAAAATTGAATTTTTATGAAGAATTTGATCAAAATTTTTAATAAAAATAAAATTCTTTCGGAGAATTTTAAACAAAATTTCTAGAAAAAATACATTTTTCAAAATTTGTATGAAAAATCATTGAAATTCTGCGATAAGTTTTGTTATTTATAAAAATAATTGAATTTTTGTAACGAATTTTATTAAAATTTTTTGTTTAAAGAATTGAATTTCTGTGAAGAATTTTATTTTTGCAAATAATTCAATTCCGGAGAAAAATATTATTATTTAATGAAAATAATTAATTTCTTGTGAAGAGTTTTATTCGAATTTTTTTAAATAATTGAATTTCTCAGAATTTTTTTCAAACCTTTTTGAAAATAATTAAATTTTATCGAAAAATTTCATTCAAAAATTTAAAAATTCTTTGAAATTTGAAATAATAATTTTATTATTTTTCAAATTTATAAAACATTTTATCAAAATTTTTTTAAATAATTGAATTCTTCTGGAAAAATTTTATTATTTATGAAAATAATTCATTTCTTGCAACGAATGTTATTAAAAAAATTTATTTAAAGAATTGAATTTTTTTAAAGAATTTTATTTCTGAAAATAATTTAATTCTGGAGAAAAATATTATTATTTATAAAAATAATTAATTTCTTGTGAAGAGTTTTATTCGAATTTTTTTAAATAATTGAATTTCTCAAAATTTTTTAAAACTTTTTGAAAATAATTAAATTTCATCGAGAAATTTCATTTAAAAAAAAAATTGAAAATTCTTGGGAAGAATTTTTATAAAATTTCTTAAATAATTGAATTGTCTCGAAGAATTTTATTTTTTTACGAAAATAATTGAATTCTTCAGAAAAATATTATTAGATATTTATGAAAATAAATTGATTTCTTGCGAAGAATTTTATTCAAATTTTTTTAAATAATTGAATTCTTAAGAAGAATTGTTTTGAAAATAATTTAATTGTATAGGGAAATTTTATTAAAATTGCAATTTTATTAACTAAAATCTTGTTACGAATTTTGTCAAAATTTTTTTAAATAATAGAATTTTTAAAAGAATATTTTATTTAAATTTTCGCAATAATTGAATTTCTCAGATCTATTTTTTTTAATTCTCTGAATATATTTGAATTCTTTCAAAAAACTTCATTCAAAAATTAAAAATAATTGAATTGGTGCGAAGAAATTTAAAAACAACTTGTTAAATTTGTTAAGTAATTGAATTCATGCGTGAAATTTTTATTACAATTTTGTTTAAATAATTGAATTTTTTTGGAAAATTTTATTAATATAGTAGATATTAAAAATAATTATAATGATGAAAATTTTTGAAAATAATTGAAATTTTGCCAGGAATTTTATTAAATTTTTTGGAAATAATTGAATTTCTTCAAGAATTAAGTTATTTAAAAAGAAATTATATTGTCATAAATAGAAAAAAATTGAAGGTTTTGTATTAGAATTCTTAGAAATTTTATAGTTTATGAGGCAAACAAAAAAGACACAAAAATTCAGAATTTTCTTATAAATTCAATTTTATCACTATTTTGAAGCTAATTATTTTTTTATCATTTTAAAATTTTAGATAATTAAACTATTCCCTAGTAGAAAAATTTGGTGGCGCTAGCATGGTGCCACTCTCGCGTTCCATTGCGCTGTAGTGGCGCTGAGAGCATTTGAAACACTTTTTTAGTCTAGCGCCTTTCTCGCATTCTGCTCGCAGTGCTAGAATGAACATAACCTCACCTGCCAAAACTTTATTTCGCGATTTAAAAGATGATTCTTATGTCATTTCTTTTGACGAATATAATTAAAAAAATTGTGTACACATAAAAAACATTTACTAATTATCTGCCTGCAATGAAATTTAAACGTATTTGAAGATAAATACACATTTCGTTTAAAGTTATGGTAATAGATTTTAATTCAGAAAACGGTAACCTATTCTTAATCCCAAGCCTAATCAAAATTTTGATCATTATTTGCTGTATAAAATTGTTTTTAAATATGGAAATTTTAAGAATAAATTATTATTAAATTTCCATAAAAAATTATTTATTTCTTCACAGTAACAGTGTCAAAAATAGTTACACATGTTAAACATTGAAATTAAAATTTTTGATATTAACCAATTCTTTTATAATAATAATAATAATAATAATAATAATAATAATAATAATAATAATAATAATAATAATAATAATAATAATAATAATAATAATTGAAAAAATTAAGTTCCTATTTAAAATCAGTAAATCTTTTCTGTCAGGTCAATTAAAAATAAAAAAAAAATAAATCTAGTTTGAGGTTATGTTTTCTAATTCGAATGGAGAGAAATTAATAATATATTTGATCCATAAAAAAGTATTTATTGTTATTCTTGGTGATAAATCGTTAGATTAATTACTTAAAATATATTTAAAAATTTTCTTGGAGGTTGAATAAGACATTCATATACTAAAAATTCTTTTATAAATAAGTGTATAAATTAACGAATGAACAAGAAATTTATAATGCAATAATAATTTATATTTAAATTTAATACAATTACAAATATATAAATACTTAGAATCCTTTTCTATTATTGTTTTTAAATGCCACAATATTCTACAAGCAAACATTTACTTTTACTTTGAAAATAAAAGCAAACACCTTTGACAGTTTATGCAACAGAAATTTGAGGTTATGTTGCATTCTAGCAAAAAGTGCTCGCGCCATTCAAGGCGCTAGAAGACGTCGGCGAGATAAACTGCCATGCAAATTCCAGTGGTGGCGCTAGCATATATCTAGGCTTCCATTAAATTTTTCTACCTGGGTTATTATCAAAAATATAAAACCAAAATTAAACACAATACCTTCGGGGGTTTCTGTTGTACTTAGTCCAGTTCATCTCGTTTACGAGAGAACTTTCATGCCATCTGGATGGAAACTTACAGAATTATAAAGGCGCGAAATTCAAATTCAATAAAATAAAAAAGCGTTTAATAAAAAATTACAAAACTGAGATCATCTAAAATCACTTTTTAATATCCTTAGAGTTCCATTTAAATTCTTACACGACACTTTACTTTTCGTATTCAAGATTCCAACTGTTCGAACTAACTGCCTCCAGATTTAGGCATCTGTTAATATTTCAGCACCAAAAAACTCATTACGAAACACATCGCCATTCGCTCCAACATATTCACGAA